TAGCAACTGGTGTAAGCAAGCTTACCTTCCCTCAAGATTTACCATCTGCGTTTTTCCGTTGTGTAGCTACCAATCCGATGGGGTCTGATGATTATGTGATGAGGTTCTTAGGTGGTAGGTTGATTTACTTTTTACACCTTAATATACTTGATTGGTTAACCTGAGAATACAGCCGTCTATCCTCGCTCCTTGCCGCAAACGTTCTTAGTGGCGATGAGCACAGCGAGCAGCTGTATTCGCTGTCTGCTGCTAGACAGGTCTTTCACTGAATATGTTTGTTTGTTTAATTTTATCAACTCTTTATCTGGCTAGTTGTTGTTGTTATTTTTTGCTGTTGTTGTTGTTGTTGTTGTTGTTGTTGGTAGTGTTGGTGTTATCCTTTCCCGTCTTTGTATTCAATTTATTTCCACTTTTGTCCTTTGATTCTTTAAAAGCAAGGTAAAAACATTGTAGATCGTTCTTTATCTGTTCTTTCAATATTGTCAGTGATTGAACTACTGTACGTCAATAATCGCCTTCGTTAATATACTACTAGTACTGTATTAAGCAAAGTATTTTCTCTTATTTCGCATTACAGGTTCTCACGATAAACCAATAAATGTAATCGCATCTCCAGAGCATGACGAAGGCAACACTATGAATCTTACATGTGAAATGTTTTGGAAGGGCTCCATGATAACTTGGCACAAAGATGGCGAACAGCTGTCGCGTGCTGCCGATACGAGAGTGAATATCTCATCAACAGTAAGAACTCATCTGACACAGACTCACTTAGTGGTGGAGAGAGTTGCGACAAATGATTCTGGAAAGTATACTTGTGGAGCAGAAGATGACAGTGGACACCACTTTACTGATTCCATAAACATTACAATCACAAGTAAGTTATAACTCGTGTATGCAGGCGTTAAAGGAGCTGTGTCACGAAATCCATCCAAATTAGGAAATTACAAAATGTCTGTTAAATTAAGAGAAACATAAAAATAAACTTTAAAGGAAGGTTAAAATAATATAACAGAAACAAGAGATGCCACGGATGGGCAAAACTGAAGAAGATTGAAACGGATTGAAATTAGGATTTTTGAAAACTGTTCAGCCTAACAGTTTTTCAAAGTTGATCCCTGCTGCTTGCAACTTCAAAAATAATGCTCAGGAGACATATTTGTTTGTCTCGGATTTCTGATTTTGTCATTTACGCGATTTTTACGTGTAATTTCTTTGCTTACTTTAAGTTCCATAGCGATTGAGGGCGAGTAATTCGCAAAATTAAACAAAATGGACACAGCCCCTTTAAGCAGTAGCTTTTCTCAGTCATGAAAACCAAGCTAACCTAGCCAACGGTTGGCTAGAGCGTTGCGTACATGATACGCACATACGCCCGTGTATACGTACACCTTAAATCCGGCGCGCTATTTCGCAGACGGACTTAACCAAAGTTTAGTGGCACAGGCTACCCCAAATGGAGAGCTTACTTGTAGGCTAATAAATTTGCTTCTTCCCTCACTATTTCAAATTAATGTTGGCGTACTCTGTTGGAGTTGAATTCCAGTGCGCCATCCAAGTTTTGAAAGAGGAAGAAAACTTTCTTGTCGTTTGATTTCACATAGTAAACCTACTCTTTTTACTCTTTTTTGTATTCTGACATTCTCGTTGCCGTCGCTGTCGTGACTTTTTAAAACTCCTTGATATTAAATGTCGGTCACATTGTGTTTCTAGTTAATTTTACTTTTCTTGACAGAGGTTTTTCCGCCAACGATTCTCAGTTTTTCGAACCAAACAGTGTACAAGAACACAACCGTGAAATTGAGATGCAACATTTCTGCTTATCCGGCTCCAACGGTTGAGTGGTTCAAAGACGGGACGTCTCCTGAAATGACACCAGTCACTATGGAAGAGTCGGACTCTTGCGAAAGCAGAAAGCTTCGTCCAGGTTTCTATCAGGTGGATAATTATGTTGGCCAGCTGTTGATATGTTCACCTTCACATGCTGATCAAACTGGTTTTTACACGTGTCAAGCTACTAACAGGCAAGGGACAAGTAATGCCACGGCTTTCTTGGATGTTTTGGGTAAGGGCTAATTTAAGGACGGTTAAATGAATTTGTGCACTTAAAATAATACAGACTGGTCGTTTACTCCTCGCGCTGTAAATGCTGTATATTGACCATTTTCTGTATATTAAAATCAACTTGAAGAATAGATTCTTTTATTCTGTTTACCCCAAGCCTCAAAGCCAAGTATGAATTTAAATACAGTGGAACCTCCATGTGCGACCACCTCTCTTAAGTGACCACCTCCCACCTGCGACCGTCAATCCAAAACACCAAAATTTCAAATTTTCCCAATCAAAGCCTTACAGTTTGAACCTCTAGTAAACGACCACCTTGTGTAAGCAACCGCGACCACTTTTTGAGCCTGACGGTTAATGATTTTCCATTGTTTTTAACCTCTTGTAATCGACCAATTGGTGTACATATGTATTCTCTAATCTCTATTTTTGCTGTGTGCACTATATTACTTAGAATATACAGAGAACTTTAGAGACAACATGAAACTGCATGTACACATATACTACCTTTGACATTGCATGCAATAAATTATTTTCCATAAAGTAGATGTTCCTCGACCTCTTCTCGCAAGAGACCGCCTGTGGTTCGATTCTTGTAAACGACCGCCTCCCGTAAGCGACAACTCTATCTTTGCATTTTGGGTGGTCGCTTACGGGAGGTTCGACTGTACATAAGACATGCTCTGTTGTTACAAATATTTCTTTATTTATGCATTTTTCATTCATTTATTTATTATTTAGTTATTTTGTTAGTTATTGGCCGATTAAAACGTGGTATACGAAAAAACTAGCAATCTACTGAGAAGATTAAAGGAGACATAGAGGATATCACATGGCCGCACGGAGATACGAAATTTCTCTTCTCATGTTGAAAAGAATATTTCACTCGTTCGCTGCGCTCACTCGTGAAATATTTTTCAACACTCGAAGAGAAATTTCGTATCTCCAAGCGACCATGTAATGTTCTATTGATTACATAAACACCAATGAAATGCCAAACCATTTTACTGAAATAGTTTTTTGGTCTGCAAGGTGCGGTTTATTATGAAGCCATAGCAATGGTGATATTTTCATAAGTGAAGATAACATGTTATTTTTACATGTGAAGATGACAATTTTCGCGCGAAAGCTCACTTGGTATTTCATTGGTGTTTATATAATAAAATATGATACCAAATTAATTTAAAAAGTTACTCCAGCCCCCGTTCCATTCGCAATGACTGCGAAGATTCAGAAAATTGGAATAATCATGAGAAAGCAAGTACAGTATACTAAATAGTAAGCTATGACATTGTAACACACATGCCCAAAAAAGAAGGGAGGGGGGGACTGATTGAGCACGAACACAAGGTAATAATATATAGATTTAGCCAGGGCTAAAAGCGAAGCTCCTGTATATTAACTCGAATTGATAATTTAAATCAAACAATAAACTTGTTTTCCACAATTCAGTTAACTTTAGAGCTTATTCATGTGACTTTTGAGAAAAGACCATGGCCGAGTTGTTCAAAGCTGGGTTAAGACAACCCAGGGTTAGTGCGAGATTTGAATTCAAATTTGAAAGCTTAAAAAGCATTTCAGTTTTAATTCTTTTTGTCTACAAGTTGATGATTGAAAGCTCTAAATATAACAGAGAAAATTATCCGAGAAAATGCTTTTGAAAACAAGAAAAAAAAAACCGGGTTAAATTTAACCCCGGGTTAAGCGCTAATCGGCCTTCGAACAACTGGGCCCATATTTCTAATACTAAACTAGGAAAAGGCGATCATTATTACATCCAAACACGGCACAAGGATCTTTTTTCCCATTACAATCTTATTCTAAGTAAACGTTAAGAAAAAATGTCCCGAAAAGCGCTCGAAAGTACAAACAAAATGTGCTCATGCCCCCTGGGCATTCTATAATGCTCATTAATTCAATATGGCCGCCGTATCGGTAAAAAGGTCTATTGAGCTATGAAGACCCATACATTGGGAGCAGGTTAATTTGATGAGCTCATCTTAACCCGTGAATGTAATGAAGCAATGAAGATGATGTGAACTGCCGAAATACAAATATCTTAAATGAAGATATGATCATCGCAGTGGTAATTGCAATTTTAGCAATTGCAAATTAACATGAGAAAACCCAAGAAGTCTCGATTTTTTTTTCAACAAATTGGCCAGCTTTCAGTGCATGGGTCTTCATAGCTTAATTGGTTAGAGCACTGCAGCGCTAACGCAGAGGTCATGGGTTCGAATCCCGTTGAAGTCCCGGATTTTTTCTCGGATTAATTTGCAATTGGTTGAATTGCAATTACCACTGCGACGATCATATCTTTATTTAAAAAATTTTGGAATGTCGTATGAATTTTATTTGAATCAGCCCTGATAAAATTTATACGTCAAGTAATTGTTCTCACTTCGAAATTTGAGCCCTACTTAGCAGCTGTGCATGATATGAGTTACCCCCGGCGAGATTACTAATTTCCCCTTTGAAGCTGCAATGATGTGATTTGAAAGTCGACGATTTTTTACATAATTATTGTGTCCACATCAGATGCTTGTGTTTCTGGGTCCATGCACTCTAGAATTAGTCCTGCTTTTGAAAAAGTTTGAGTAGTTGAAAATTGGAAGAGCTGTTCTCTTGTGGCTCAGCTCATGTTGAATTTAATAAATGGCTGTTGTGGCTCTTGCTGAACTTAATGCTGCGAGGGTCATTTGTTCATCTTTTTTTATTATTATTATTTTTTTTTTGTCACAGAGGACCCAAACGTTTTTATAATCCCAAGCAAGGACGTCTTCCAGGTGAAGCTGGGCGCACTGTGGAATGTAACATGCAAAGCCACAGGAAACCCGATGCCATTTGTGCATTGGAGAAAAGAAAAAACACAAGAGGATGTCACTCCAAAACGCCGTGCCCCTGAAGTTGTGATGCTAACCATATCACCCGTTACTGAAGCCGACTTGGGAGACTACACTTGTGTGGCAGAAAATTCCCAGGATGTTACGACTGCGCATGTTAAGCTAGGTGAGCCAGTTATTTTAAGACTCTGAGTATTGGCCCGGCTCGGGAATCTAACCCACGAACTCCCGCTCTGCAGTCAAGCGTTTTACCGACTGACCTGACCCTTCCTTTAGTCTCCTTCACAGCCGTTTTTGGTACATTACGTACTTCAGGAGCTTTGCGTGATGGCACTGAAAACGGCTGCAATGAAAACTATTGAAGCCTGTAGCTGAAATTAAAGATTTGCCGTCTATTTTAATATCAGAAATAACTGCGGGGTTAAAGCTTTTGACTGAAAAGTTTCTCAGTGTCTTTATATTAGAAACAGTACATGAGTGATACCCATTGTTGCAGTTAGTTTTATTGTTGTTAGTTTGATGGCCTTTACTTTCACTACTCTTGTAACTCAGAGGTAATTCACCAGGACCATAGAACCAGAAGGTAACAAAAATCGTTCTTCCTGTGGAGTGGCAAGTGAAATTATATCTATGTTAGTTCTCCACCTGACTATTCAACAAAAGAAAATGTGGCACAATGATCGAAAAGAGATGGTGAATTATAAGGCTGGTGAATACATGATAAAGATGTTTTTTGGTCCGCCGTGACACAGGCGGCTCGGAACTGGAAAAGTTCGAGTACTCCCTACAGTTCTTAGGTTTGAATCCTGTTGGGAGACTTGGGATTATTCGGAGTTTTTCCCGCAAGCCGCCTGTGTTATAACTGCGGAACGAAATAGAACATCTTTCTTAAAAGATTGGCCTTTTTACCACTTTTGATTGTGGGCCATCTTAGCAAGTCTTGTGCTACGCATTGCCAATACATTTGGGATCATTATACTTTTCTGGGAAACTGCCCACCTACCCCTCTCCTAAGCCAATATTTTGCCCCAAGTGAGAAGTAAGTGTTAGGCTTAGGGGAGGGGTAGGTGGGCACCCAGAAACGTATAGCTATAATGATCCATATAATGTCAACCTAAATTTTTCCCATATTTACTGAAGCAATAGATGATATTATCTTTATGGGTTTAACAGTACTCAGCAACTTTCCAGATGTATCTGCAACGCGAGGTCTTAGTAAGGAAGCCACTGTTGCCCTTTCTGTAGCTGGAGCAATCGTGTTGCTCTGTATCGTCCTGGCCTTCGCCTTCTGTTGCTTTTTTCGTCGTCAACAGAAGCAGATTGCGGAGAATCGTAGCCAGTTTTTCAAAGTACACTCAGAGGAATACCAGGTAAATATCGGTGCAAAAGTAAACAACTACAGTGAAACCACTATTAACCGGACACCTTCGCGGCCTTCCCAAGTGTCCGCTTAATAGAGGCTGTCCGCTTAATAGAGGTTTGTAAAAATTGCGTAATGTTTGTTAGCGATTACATTCAACGCTTACTCTGTACTTTGATAAAGTTCCATGTTGGTAAGGAAGCTAAGGAAGCTGTGCTGTACTTTGTGCAAGACTTTTAGGTGAACTTTTGACAGCTAAATTAATGTATTGATTTATCTTTATTAATCGACGACAGTATGTATTTCAAGGACATAATCCAATACTATTATTGTCAATTCAGTCCGGTGTCCGCTTAATAGAGGTTTTTAACGGTAGAAATTAGCCAAATACAATTTATTTTAGTGTCCGCGTCTGCTTATTAGAGGTGTCCGCTGAATAGGGGTTCGTTATAAAGGCCGGCACCGGGCTTAGTGTCCTCTTAATTGGGAGCTCGCTTAATTGAGGTTTCACTGTACATTCAAACCTGTATTACGCGGTCACCTCTGGGGAATAGCTTACTGACAAGTTTGAGAAACTTAAAAGTTATCCAATGAAGGTGGTGAAAGAGCGACAAATTGACCTCAAACGGTTTACCAGTTTCTGATTACCAATTTCTACCACTTCTTGTGCCAAAGCAAATGAAGTAAAAGACCACTAAACGCCATACACAGTGTATATGTTGCACTAATACGGTACGTGTTGTCCAAGTGGCCGTTTAATAGAGGTGAAGACAATAACACAACAACTTGTTGGGACGTCATAAAATATAATGAACATAGTGTTAAAACATTCATTGTCTTGTTTTAGTTTGACCCTGATCGCACACTGCTTGAACAATGTAATGATCTTCCTTATGACCCTGATTTCGAGTTTCCTGAGGACAAGCTCATTCTTGGGGAGGTGCTTGGATCAGGGGCCTTTGGAAAGGTCATTAAAGCAGAGGCTATAGGAATGGACGACTTTAGTCCCAGAGACAAAAGTCCAGTAAAAGGTGGACCGCGACTCAGTCTGCTCCGGCGATACATAAACTGCAGCAAAACATACTACGATTCTAGAGTTAGCGCTTCTAAGAAGACCACTGTTGCTGTTAAGACCCTTAAAGGTAACGTAATAAAGTTTTTTAGAACTTAATGCCGTTAAGAAAGATCGACTGCAACGTCTCTTAAATTGAATTTCCTGCTGGGGGTGGTGGAGGTGAGAAATGAACTTGGCTGGTAGTAACCTACGCATCGACTTGGAGACGAGAATGAGGCGGGGGAGGAGATTCTGAGTACATTACTGAGAAAATTTATGATCAGCTAAAGATTAACGAAGCTGGGGGTTGAAAGTTGCTTTTTTTGGAGAGGGGTGGGGGGCGGTAACAGACTTCACTTCGACAGGTGTCACCCTTTTTCAATTGACAAAGCTTTCACAGGGTCAAATCAGTGCCCCTCTCTCAGTTTACAGACTTTTTACAAGGTTGTTTACAGGTTCAAGAAAGCTCTCTTCTGTAATTTACATGTTGTTTACAGTATTCTGGCACCGTTTATTTACATGCTATTTACTTTTGTGCACTTCAGAGGGAGCTACTATAGAGGAGTATAGAGACCTGGCTTCAGAACTGAAAATTCTTATGCACGTTGGAGTACACACAAATATTGTAAACCTTCTCGGTGCTTGTATCAAGCGCGACGGTATCCTTGTTATTCTGGAATATGCACCATATGGGAGTTTACTAAAGTTTTTACGAGGCAAGCGAGATGTTTATGAAGCAACCTGGTCTACGACTACCAGTGACCCAGAAATACGGTTAGATATATCAAATCTAGTGGGGTATGCCTTCCAAATATCCCGTGGAATGGAATACCTGGCGTCTAAAAAGGTAAAATACTAACGGCTTTTCTCAAACAAAATCAGACGCCCACATTTATTTAAATGTTATTTGCGGGCACTTGTTCTCTCGCCCTTTTCGTGATCTTATTCGTTAATTTGACTGACAGTCTGGGCTTGTTGTTTTGCGCCGAGGTAAATGTAGTTATTCTCGCGAAGCGCAAGTACCGCGCGTGGTCTTAGCGACCTGCAACATACAGCTATTTCGAGAAAGGTTGTCGGAAAAAGTACACGGGACAATCCCGAAAGGTCTTGTGGGTGGTTTTGAGTTCACTGTTCTTCAAAGAATTTTGAAAGAATGGCACAAAAAGCCATAAACGTATGTTGCACATGCTAAAGGAAAGCAACAAGAGAAGATTCGCCAGAGATACTGGATCATTATAAGGTTCTGGGAAACTGCCCACCTACCCCTCCCCTAAGCCAACATTAACACTTTGTTCTCACTTAGGGCAAAATGTTGGCTTAGGGAAGGGGTAGGTGGGCAGATTCCCAGAAACGTACAATTATTCTCTCATAAATTTCGGATCATGACGCCGCATTTAAGGGGAAAACAAAAACTAAAAATTTAATGGCAACACACAAACCTTAATTAAACCATTCTCCTAGTAACACTCTAAGAAATAGTCCAGTTTTTAACAGATGGTTTGTTTCTTGTGTAGCTGGGCAATTATTCACTCGAGTCTTAACTGATACAAATTAGGTAACCTATTTAACGATCATATGTACACCACCTAGGACGTAATACCAATAAGGCCAAAAAAAAAAATATCCTATTTATTTTAAGGATGGAGGCCTTTAAAAACCATACCCTATCTGGCAGCATGTACCTAACTAGCCTATATATGGGAGAACTCCTCCCCCGGTTTTTAGTTTTGTGGTGACAATTGAGTGTTTGAGATAACGATAAATGACCTAATTGACGCCCCCTTCCAAAGTCCGGGCATGCATAGAAGGAAAATGTTTGGGGTTTAATTTTGTTGTTGTTTTCTTTCTTATTTGTTTGTTTATTTATTTACCTTTTTTCTTTTTTGGCCTGTCTATTTGACCAGTGTATTCACCGAGATTTGGCGGCCAGAAACGTCCTCGTGGGAAAAGACTACGTTATGAAGATCGCTGACTTTGGTCTCGCGCGCGATATTTACAAGAGTGACTTGTATGTGAAGACGACAAGTGGTGTATTGCCAATTAAGTGGATGGCTCTGGAATCGTTGTTTCAGAAGGAGTACTCAGAGAAGAGTGATGTGTAAGTACAAGTAACATGCCAAAAGTGTTGAAGGGGTATGTGTTTATATGGAAACTGTGAAAGGTTTGAACCCAGGAGTCATTTCAAAAGTAGGTTGAGTTTGATTGTCCGGGTGAACGTAGTCCTGAATAGGACTGTTGTTGTTGACAGTGACTGACGTTTCGACAACCTGTGCGGTAGTCATCTTCAGAGTCAAAGTGAGTTGTATCACGTCAGTTGATGGTATTATACTCTGGTTATTGATCTGATTGGTCAATTACGTCGCGATGTTTTTGGTCGTCTGTCAGTTAAGACGTGATGTTATTGGCTATGAAGACTCGTAATCAGTAATTGGTGCGTTTCGATCCATCTATTGTCACAGTCAAACAGTCGTCTATTGTTAGTCAAATTGTCATTCTCTCGTAGTTAGTTTTGCTTCATCTCGTCAATAAGTAGTTTGTACGGCGCTGGTAACTGTAGCCAACAGTTACCAGCGCCGTCCACAAGAAACAAATTTCCCGGATTCCGGAATCCACAAGCAACAAATTTCCCGGATTCTGGAATCCACAAGCAACAAATTTCCTGGATTCTGGATTCCACAAGCAACAAGTTTCCTGGATTCTGGAATCCACAAGCAACAAATTTCCCGGATTCCGGATTCCACAAGCAACAAATTTCCCGGATTCTGGAACCCGGATTCCTTACATGTGGCGAGTTTTTTAAGTTCCTTGATTTATTTGCATGCCAGTTTGATGCCTGCTTTCAGTCGGCTGTACTGGATTTAAGAAGCGTCTTAATCATCTGTTTCTACAAGTACACAGTTTAACTTTTTCCAAATGCAATCTTATTCCCTTTCTTCTGCTTAGAGAGTTTACGTTTTAAACTTTGGCTTTGAACTTTGCAGATGGTCTTTTGGTATTTTATTGTGGGAGATCTTTACACTTGGCGGGACACCGTATCCCACCATACCTATGGAATCTCTCCTCGACTTTCTCAGTGATGGAAAGCGTATGGAAAACCCTCAAAACTGCCCCTCGGAGATTTATAACATTATGCAGAATTGCTGGCTGGAGAATCGGGATAACCGACCAGAATTTGTTCAAATCAGCATTTTGATTGGCAAAATACTCGAGCAACGTGCTTCCCAGGTGAGTCCTTTCAGTCCAGCAGAATGGTGAAATAATTGTGGGGTTTATGGTTAAAGCACCAAACTTGGCGTAATGATAGTTTATGACACAGTAGACAATATTGGTTATGGACCCCATCTAGATCTATCCCATGATTTCAAATACAGCACACTGGAGATTCTTTGAGTTAATTTATAAACACCTCACGCTCCGCTATTAAAACGTGAAGATTTGAGGGAAATAAAACAGTCGAACCTCTCGGTACGGACACCTCTCTAATACGGACTCCTGACCGTTACGGACAGTTTCCAATGTCCTGACAAAATTCTCATACATTTATTTAAAGAAAAACCTCTATAATACGGAACCTCTCTAATACGGCAACGGACACTAAATCTCGGCCGAGAGAGTAAATTCATATAAACTGAACTTAACCTCCATATTACGGACACTGCGGTGATCAGTCAATTTCTCAATTCTTGGTTGACTATAGTTTGTATATCATATTATCATATCATATGATCAAATAGACCTATTCGGCTGACTCAATGTTGTACCTAATTCAAACCCTTTGGGAATAAAACGTTTTGATTCAGGAATTTCCATATCATTTAAATGTGAATGCCACATTATAATACAAATACAATACACAAAGAATCTTATCCCCAGGAGATTTGAATTGGATACAACATTGAGTTAGCCGAATAGGTCTATTATCCACTCCCCTCAGGGCTTTTCAGGGATAATTTACAACACTGGTTGGGGGACTTTGCCAGACTGCTTAAGGTGCAGTTTACAAGTACTGAAGGAACGAGTAATGATGCCCCCATACATGAGTGTGAAAGTGAGATAGACCACTATACCGGGCACTACGTGCCCTACTCTTTACGAAGAGTGTGTTCGTCCTTATCCGAGAAGACTAGAAAGTCAAATCGTTTGCAGATGTTTTCACAAAGACAGCACTTTCTTCTCAGTTCAGTTTAAAGACCCTGAGTGTTGGTCCGGCCGGGGTTTGAACCAACGGCCTCCCACTCAGCAGACCGGCCCTTATCCCATTGAGTTAGCCGGGCGGCGGTTTTTTGTATACCTCTAAGAAACTTCTATACCCTCTGTAACAATAATGTTAGGAGTAAGTAATGCGATAAGTGGTTGCACGAACAGTTTGTGTAGGCTACCGCATACGCAAATGCCCCGTTGTTTTTTTAATGGTTGTCATCCGTCGTCATTTACCAGTGTTTAAATGCAGCGTATCAATCGGACACTTACGGAGCTATCGGTAATTTCCTCAACGTACAAAGTTTTTTTTAGAGAAAATATGGGAAGGAACGTTTGGGATGTGTGATATACTGGGTAGTTCTAGTCTGCTTTACACCGCACTGAGGTATGGGTGTGATGGAAACTGGGCGTCTTTTTCTCTCAACAGAGAGTTGTATCCGGGTACATTAAGTTAACAGAAGATAACAACTATGGCAGAAACGATTACTACCTCGATCCGCTTGATGCAGACTCAACAATTCCTCGGACGAGAGCAGATGTTTATGACAGGTTAGTAAGTGAGAACTTTACATTCAAGTACGAGATTTGGCTTTAAGTTTTTTTCGCATAATCTTAAAAAAAGGACACCCTGGAAAGGTTCATAGTACATTTTTTCACCAGGAAAGTTAGAACTGTCATCTTTATTCAAAGAGGTTAAGCCCCCTGCCGGTCGCAAAATCACAAAAGCTCAAACATTTAATAGCTCGTTTCCGCCACCTCGAAATTCTTGCAAAAACTCGCAGTAGAATGACGACGACTATCACGTTTTTCCGCCAAATTGACGCTGGTTCACGCGCGAGTACTCCTTAGTATTGAGAACATCTCGCGCTCGTAGTTGTACTCGTCTTAAAATCTAATGGTATCTCTTCTTTCCAATGAGTATCCGGCTGTTAATTATACTCCAGTGAGCCAATTGCAAATGCGGGTAACAAGACGGTAGGGGGCGGGAAAAGGGGGCGCTTATGAACCTTCTCCCTGAAGGAACCAAAGAAGTCTAACTATGAGGTTTCTTCAATTGCAAAGTGGTGGTAGGGCAAAATAACAAAAAGAACTGTGTTATTAACTATGTTTTAACTGTAGGCGATCAAGCCAAAATATCGTCCACAAGCAACAAGTTTCCTGGATTCTGGAATCCACAAGCAACAAATTTCCCGGATTCCGGATTCCACAAGCAACAAATTTCCCGGATTCTGGAACCCGGATTCCTTACATGTGGCGAGTTTTTTAAGTTCTCAAATTTGCACTCGACTTGTGCCTATGAATCACGAAATGCACTCGCGTTCATGCGCTTTTTTATAGTACGCGAGAAAGAAAAAAACTGTTGATCCTTGATTTATTTGCATGCCAGTTTGATGCCTGCTTTCAGTCCGCTGTACTGGATTTAAGAAGCGTCTTAAACATCTGTTTCTACAAGTACACAGTTTAACTTTTTCCAAATGCAATCTTATTCCCTTTCTTCTGCTTAGAGAGTTTATGTTTTAAACTTTGGCTTTGAACTTTGCAGATGGTCTTTTGGTATTTTATTGTGGGAGATCTTTACACTTGGCGGGGCACCGTATCCCACTGTACCTATGGAATGTCTCCTCGACTTTCTCAGTGATGGAAAGCGTATGGAAAACCCTCAAAACTGCCCCTTGGAGATTTATAACATTATGCAGGATTGCTGGCTGGAGAATCGGGATAACCGACCAGAATTTGCTCAAATCAGCATTTTGATTGGCAAAATACTCGAGCAACGTGCTTCCCAGGTGAGTCCTTTCAGTCCAGAAGAATGGTGAAATAATTGTGGGGTTTATGGTTAAAGCACCAAACTTGGCGTAATGATAGTTTATGACACAGTAGACATTATTGGTTATGGACCCCATGTAGATCTATCCCATGATTCCAAATACAGCATACTGGAGATTCTTTGAGTTAATTTATAAACACTTCACGCTCCGCTATTAAAACATGAAGATTTGAGGGAAATAAAACAGTCGAACCTCTCGGTACGGACACCTCTCTAATGCGGACTCCTGACCGTTACGGACAGTTTCCAATGTCCTGACAAAATTCTCATACATTTTATTTAAAGAAAAACCTCTATAATACGGGCTCTCTCTAATACGGCAACGGACACTAAATCTCGGCCCAGAGAGTAAATTCATATAAACTGAACTTAACCTTTATATTACGGACACTGCGGTGATCAGTCAATTTCTCAATTCTTGGTTGACTGTAGTTTGTATATCATATTATCAAATTATCCACTCCGCTCAGGGCTTTTCAGGGATAATTTAAACACTGGTTGGGGGACTTTGCCAGACTGCTTAAGGTAAAGTTTACAAGTACTGAAGGAACGAGTAATAATGCCCCCATACATGAGTGTGAAAGTGAGATAGACCACTACACCGGGCACTACGTGGCCTACTCTTTACGAAGAGTGTGTGGGTTCTTTAACGTCCCACAGATTTATTACATGTGCAAGGGCTTGTGAGACAGGGCCTACGGTTTATCGTCCTTATCCGAGAAGACTAGAAAGTCAAACCGTTTGCAGATGTTTTTACAAAGGCAGCACTTTCTTCTCAGTTCAGTTTAAAGACCCTGAGTGTTGGTCCGGCCGGGGTTTGAACCAACGGCCTCCCACTCAGCAGACCGGCGCTTATCCCATTGAACTAGCCGGGCGGCGGTTTTTTGTATACCTCTAAGAAACTTCTATACCCTCTGTAACAATAATGTTAGGAGTAAGTAATGCGATAAGTGGTTGCACGAACAGTTTGTGTAGGCTACCGCATACGCAAATGCCCCGTTGTTCTTTTAATGGTTGTCATCTGTCGTCATTTACCAGTGTTTAAATGCAGCGTATCAATCGGACACCTACGGAGCTATCGGTAATTTCCTCAACGTACAAAGTTTTTTTAAGAGAAAATATGGGAAGGAACGTTTGGGATGTGTGATATACTGGGTAGTTCTAGTCTGCTTTACACCGCACTGAGGTATAGGTGTGATGGAAACTGGGCGTCTTTTTCTCTCAACAGAGAGTTGTATCCGGGTACATTAAGTTAACAGAAGATAACAACTATGGCAGAAACGATTACTACCACGATCCGCTTGATTCAGACTCAACAATTCCTCGGACGAGAGCAGATGTTTATGACAGGTTAGTAAGTGAGAACTTTACATTCAAGTACGAGATTTGGCTTTAAGTTTTTTCGGATAATCTTAAAAAAAGGACACCCTGGAAAGGTTCAAAGTACATTTTTTCACCAGGAAAGTTAGAACTGTCATCTTTATTCAAAGAGGTTAAGCCCCCTGCCGGTCGCAAAATCACAAAAGCTCAAACATTTAATAGCTCGTTTCCGCCACCTCGAAATTCTTGCAAAAACTCGCAGTAGAATGACGACGACTATCACGTTTTTCCGCCAAATTGACGCTGGTTCACGCGCGAGTACTCCTTAGTATTGAGAACATCTCGCGCTCGTAGTTGTACTCGTCTTAAAATCTAATGGTATCTCTTCTTTCCAATGAGTATCCGGCTGTTAATTATACTCCAGTGAGCCAATTGCAAATGCGGGTAACAAGACGGTAGGGGGCGGGAAAAGGGGGCGCTTATGAACGTTCTCCCTGAAGGAACCAAAGAAGTCTAACTATGAGGTTTCTTCAATTGCAAAGTGGTGGTAGGGCAAAATAACAAAAAGAACTGTGTTATTAACTATGTTTTAACTGTAGGCGATCAAGCCAAAATATCGCACTTAGTCCGTTGCCTCCAATACCACGTGACATGGAAAATGAGCCCGAAGCGGAATCAGACGAGAGACAGCAGATGCTGGAACCAGAAGATAACGATACTTTGTCGGGGAATGAGAGCGGTATAGAACTGGAAGAAGTTGGAGTTGAGCAGGATGAGGCCGTGGAACTGAGACCTACAGGAAAGGCCAGAGACTCCCGTTATAGAAATACACTCGTCTAAACCGAATGTTAATCTTTTTATTCCTAGGGTTTTACAGTCCTTTTAATTTTTACATGTAAGTCTGTCGACATATTTTTAGTGTGACCATTCAGTTGAAGCCTCTTTTAGCAGTGATTTTCCATAAAGCGTTTCGTCACAGGCCTACCATACTCTTTGTGTCCTGCTCTGTGCATTTAGGGCCCGTTTGGCTACCCTGAGAACAAATAACTTTCTCTCCTGCGGCGGGATGCTTCGATGTCGGGCACAGGCTGATAGATCTTCGGTCCGAAACCGGAAACCGCGCTTGAAAAAGTCTCTGGCAGTTATTTTATAAATTAGAATATGCCTCATGAGGATCATAGAAAACTCCTTAGGATGGGAGTAAAAAATAGCAACGATCAAGTGTATTGCATATTATAGTATTACTTGTTTAGCGTGTGACGCCATACGTCACGATAATAAAACTAGTCGTGCGAGTGTTCTATTTATTAGATTTATATCTCGCCGGATTTTTGAAAACGTTACCGCCAAATAGCCCTTTTGCGTCCAACAGTTTTTATCAACCAAAAACTAAATCTCCAGAGAAGCCATTATAAACACTAAGAATGCAACCATTGCTTTTTTTTCTCTTCCCCTCCTTTCTTCCTCTTCGCTCTTTCTTTTTCTCCTTTCCTTTTCCTTTGTTAGTGTGATTTTGAAGCTCATCGGGCCCAAAAAGCCTGCCTTTCGACGCCTTTTCACTCAAATGACTGCAAATTTCGTTAGGTTGGTTTTCAAAAAGTCGGCTAGGTATAATCTTTATGTAATCAGAAACAAATGAATGTTTTACCCACTAAACACCCGCGTTAGAAGAAATTGCGGGTTCAGTTTTCTAGGCTGAATTTTGTCAAGGCATCATAGGTATGAGTTATTCTCCGTTCTACTTATGAGCCATGAGCGCTTTTACTGTAGCAAACTGTAAAAAAGGTTATTTACGCCAGTCTCCTTGTACCTTCTTTGTGGAATATTAAAGAACCCGTTATAGACAGAAAAGAATTACAGTGGTTAAATATCTAAAGGAGCCTAGCATTTACGGTTTATTGAACGCCTCGATCATTGCAATCCCCAAACCGTAATGTTAATCTCGTTTGCATTCCTCTGAATAATGAACCCCTAACAGCTAATCTGGGAGTAAACATCGTTTTAAAGGACAAAGGGTGGATGGCAGTAGGAGGACAGTAGCTTCTCGCCACTGCAGCTCGGGTTCAAATCCCAAATCCAGATCATTTGTAGGTTAAGAACATGCTCGGTTCTCTTTTTCTGCCCCAAGAAGTTTTTCTCCGGGTAATGAGCTTTCACCTCTCCTCAAAAACCAACCTTACACGGTAAATCAAAAAGATCTGTTTTAGCCCTAAAATTAGGGCCGTTTCGGTGAGTAAAATACAGTCCTATTTTTGAGTCTAATTTGGCTCCCCTTAAATCAGGGCCAATACAGTCCAATTAGCTAGGGCTGAAATGGGCCCTACCGTGGGCTGGAATAGCCTTTTGATTGAGCTTTTTTGCCCTAAATTGTGCTCAAATGCCTCCAGGAAGGGCTGAATCAGACTTGGGCCTGCAGGGCTGAATTGACACTTTTGGGCTGAAACAGATCTGCTCAATTTTCAGTGTAGTTAGTTTTCATCAAGTCTCTAATTGCACCCATTACAACAAACACAATCCAAACCAATATTTTCTTTCATCTAAAAAAAAAACAGTGAACCATGCATGTGACACTTGTTTTCATGTCAGGTAATACAGCGAAGACCCACAGATAAGAACCAAAACTCTTTAGGCTAATATTTTGAGAGAACCTGATTGCAAACTAAGAGTTTCTATTGGCTTAAATTGAAGTTATATTATTTAGACATAACATGCTTATTTTGTACAAATATCGTTAATACTACTAATATTCTTCCAAACACTTCTAATTTTTCCCCCAACAAAATAAGAACCTAATTTGAGAAGCGAAACAGCCTATTTAAAGTTCTAAGAAACACAAATTTTATAAGAGCCTTTTGAGGGTAACTTTGAAAAAAAACAACAACAACAACAACAGCTACTTAGTTCTCACTGTATACTACTAAATGCAAGAGTAGGGGAGGGGGAGGAAGAGTTAGGGATAGAATTGGATAGGTTAGGGAGAGAGTTAGCGTTAGGGATAGACCTAGAGTTAGGGATGGATAGCGTTAGGGATGGGATAGAGCTAGGGTTACGGTTAGGTTAGGGTAAAGTATAGGTTAGGACTAGGGATAGGTTAGGGTTAAATATATATTAGGGTTAGGATTAGATCAGGGCAAAGGTTACAAACAAGAAGTACACCGTCGCAACTTGTTATTGGTCGTCGCTTGTTGAGTTCAAACGGAAGCGCTAAACAACCAAGTGCGGGACACACTGTGCACGATCTTTCAAGACGTGAGAAGTAATTGAACACTATACTTTCACATTTTTGGAAACGTTGGCAGAAGGAATACTTAACAGAATTACGTGTTCATCACAATTGCAATTCGAGTAACCGTGAGGAAGCCAACGCTTAAGGTCGGAGATGTACGGTGGCCCAGAACGGTCACACATGCAAATTAAAAATGTTGCTGCAAATTAAAAATAGTCCATGCAAACTAAAAATATTACCTGCAAATTAAATGTAGTACATGCAAACTAAAAATTGTGCTGCAAATTGAAAACAGAAAACATATCGATGCAAATTAAAAATGAAAAGTCCTGCGCGCGCAGTATGAGTGATGAGGACCTTGTCCGAGCCGTGCGACCTGGCCTTACAGCCGTCGGTCC